CAGCCCCTGACCTTCCTTTCTTTGCTCCTTCATGTCTACCTTTTGAGTTGTTCTCATTCTGGATCAAGAATAGGTAGAAACACATTAATCACTGCCTTAAGAGCTTTTCTATAATCCAGATACTTTTCCTGCAGATCCATGCCAACCCTCACGGGTTTTCTGCAGGTGGCTGAAAGTCCAGGCTCAGCTGAAACTTCAGCCGCTGAGTATTTTCCAACTGATGTTTAGTGATGTTGGCCTCACTACCCACGGTCAATATTCATGATTCTCAGTAAATATTACCCTTCTTCCTAAACAGAAATACCTGAATATTGCCTTTCTTGGCCTAAAGACTGTTGCAAACAGGAGATACATGAGGATTTGGGAGCATAAATGCCATGTGTTCATGACTATTTTTCTTTCAGTTCATTGCTTCTGTTTTGCACATGGGTTTGAAACCCCAAACCACTTTGACTTAGGAGCCTTATGAGTACATGAAACAATGGGCCAGGCCTCAGAGGACATAACATGGAAGACCACATTGATTTCAGTGGAGACACATCCATTTTTAACCACTAGGGTTCTGGCACAGTTGGGTTAATTTTCAGTTTTCCTTCTCATCTGCATTGATTTGATTGAATCATTTTCATTCATGTGCTAGGTCAGATCACTAGATGACAAGAAGGTGCATTATCAGTCATTTACATATCAGACTTCCTGTTTGATTCATTCCACAGATCAAATATTTTTACTTCACACAGACAAATACACATAATCTGCAAACACTTATTCATCATCAGAGGTGGGCCTAAGGTCTTTCCAGTTTCTGAAAACAGATTTTTCTTCAGATAAGAAGGGCAATTCTCCTAAGAGATTCAGAACCAATCCAGTGACTTCACGTCTGTCTCTAGCCTTTTTTTCAGCAGTAATTGTCAAGCGCATTCTGCATGGGATGGAAATTTCCACTTTTACCCAGTGTGGCTCAGTCAACTGTCCGTGTTCTAGATGGTTATGTATTGCTTATTTTTTTATTTGTTTAGAAAGGATTCTGGGATATGAGACCATGAGAGAATATTGGAGATGGCTTGACTGTTTGATAGTAGCGTTGAGGAAGATGGAAATGTAGCCTTAAGCTTCCTTTCTGTTCCCCTGCTCTGATCCAGTCTGTTGTAACTGAAAGCAGCCTAAGGGGTGCAGTGGATTACCCCAGCTGGAATCTCCCTCTTCCTCTGGGAGCACAGTGTTTTCTGGCTACACCTCTCCCACCTCACATAAGGATAGAAATGAATGGTACTGATTGAAGAAGACCCCCCAGCTACACTGTTTGGCAGGTGTCTGCCTGTTTTGTCCCTCAAGGACTGACCCAGAGTTTGAGCCCTAGCCTGGAATTTCAGTATGTGTTGTCTATGTGTTCAAACATGGCCATTATTTACAAGGCTAGAAATGACGTCACTTGGTACATTGTTTCTTGTTCAGATGATGATAAGCCTGTGGTGGCAAGTTATAAATGACACAGGCCTTGGTTTCTCTGTGACTCAATTCCCCATCTGTCCAGTAGGAATAATGGTACTTGCCTAATGTACAAGAGAGTTTCCTTAATACAGAGTTATCATAACTACTGGTACCAAAAGCTAAGGAAGGGATAGTCAAACTTGTGCTTCGAGGCTTAAGATGATATCTAAATAGTAGGAGTCAGAATGAGACCTAAGCGAAGGGTGGATGACCTTATATGCTGTGGAGTCCCTATATCTTCCCCTGAAGAAGCTGGAGCTGGTAACTGCCTGGTGTGGATACATGATATGATTACTAAGTTTACCCTGGACTTCACTCCATGGATAATGTACTGTCCTTCAACAAGTGCTATTGCAATGTGTAGCCAGTGGGTGGTGAGGGAGCTGATTTTTCAGGGAGCTAATGCTACCCTCAGGTGAACTTGATGAGAAGGGAGCATACACAAAATATCCACTGGTGTAATGTACACCGATGCATAGTTACTCCTGACTTTCCGAAGGGTAACTTTACACTTCAGTAGAATGGACCTTCACTGGCTTTGTATTTGGTGTACAATCCAACTTTTAATATGGAGTAAAGTCAAATTATTCTGTAGTAAATGTGTTGTGTCTGCATCTCAGAGAAGAGATGCAGGGCTACATGGACCTCAGGACTGATACGGTCTGGCAATTCCTCTAGCTCTTGTGAGGATAAATATAGGAAAGACTGTGTGGTGCTTGAGTACTATGGATGTGAGGACTATATAGATGCCTAAGGGTAGCAATAGTAGGGTTAGAGTATTATGGCAGCCATGATGATCCAAGAAATGCCTGAGAGTAGAAAAACTGCTCCAACTTTATGACTGCTTTATCCAGGATTAAAGCGGGAGCGGTTTTGCCATATTTGCATAGCTCCTGGATTGTCCACATGTAACAATTAGAATGTAACAGCTGCTGCCCTTTTGAAGCAGTTCCAGATGGACATGTGTCCAGATGGAAAATCAATGCAGTAGGCTGGAACAATTACTTGATGAAGATAGGAATCTGTCAGCCCTTGCTGATAATTGTGGGCTATGATATCACTAAGATGGTTTGTTGTGTCTAAAAAGCAGGAATAAACTTTACTTATTAAGAATCACTACAGATTCACTTTAAAGTGTTACTGATCTTTTTTTAGTAAATCAGTGTGCTTGCTTGCCTAGTCACAGACAAAACACCTTTGATATTTAATTTGCAAAACACAGATATTTTGGAAATACAGGAGCCAGAAAAAAAAAGTTTTTGAAACTGGCAGTTGTCAAGTGCCTTGTAGAATTTGTTTAACTTTTAAAGAAATGATTAAACTCTTCCATAATTTAAATTGCTAGCTCTCTGCCCAGAATAGAGCCATCCTAAGCAACCATATTTCAGTATTTGTAAGCGGAAGCAGATGGCTTTTTGAAAATTTGCTGATATGGTCCAAGATTATGTTTTGTCATTTTGCAGAAAAATAGCTTTTTTGGCATGGAACTTAACATTTTTTTTTTCCAATAAAGAAATCAGCAAAATAGAAACGACTGAAGCATGTTTGAAAACGTAGTTGTGCTTGCCAGGGCCCTGATTCAGGACTGTAATTAAGTACATACTTAAATTCCTTCCCATTCAGGAAAGTACAGAAACACGTGCCTGAACTTTTAAATAAATGGGATTTAAGGACATGATTGGAACCTACTAATACTAAAGTTAAACTGGTGCTTAATTGCTTTCCTGAATCATGGCCTAGACTTGGTGCTGGTGAGAATATTTTTTGCAGTGCCGATCTAAAATTGATTTTTTACTTTTGTGAGTGATACCCCTTTAATTTTGAAATGGGCTGTACCTCTTCAAATACTCCCTCTTTCCTTATAAAGATTTTGTTCACAATGATGCGATGAATACAGCTGGTTGAAAAATTTCCATTGTAATGTGATTCTTGGACAGAACATACCCTTTTCTTTTACCACAACATTTTTTGAAAAATGTTCATGTTGCTCCAAGTTTTTCATTTTTCCCAGTGCTTTTTTCCATTTTGTGAATTTCCCCTCCCCTTTTTGTTACATTTTTCTAAGGCCATTTTCTGCAGATTCTTTGGGTTTTCATTTTCCAGGGGAGAAAAAAAGGTGTGTTGGAGGGATAAATAAGTCTGCTTTATTTTTTAAGCAGCTTCCCTCCTTTTCCTCCAGTAGAAACATTGGCATAAGTTGGGCAGGCTGACCAAGGTGGCTGCCCTGGGTGCTGATTTGAGCACAGGGTGGGGAAAAAATGGCTGCTACTGCACCAGCACTAGAAGCAGCAACCAGCAGTTGCTATTGTCCCTGTGGGGTAGCTACCCCAGGTGCTCAGCGATGACGTTACGCCCCTGTGTAGACATACATTAAAAACAGCAAGAATGTGGAGTTTTCCCCCCAACCAAAGGTTTTTAGAAATAATCTGGTGATTTTTTAATTAAAAAAAGTCTCAATGAAAACTTAAATAAGAAAATTCCTGGAAGATTTCCAGTGAAATGGAAGATTATCTTCTTTTTCCAGAAGATTCTCACAGTTCCCCTAGGGAAGGACAGTCTGCCCTGGGGTGGGTCAGATGTAAAGTTAATGACTGCTGCTCCTCTCGCCCTCAGCTGTTGACTGTCCTGGCGTGGATGGTATTGTTGGGTCAATTAGGTGCCTAAATCTGCTAAGTATGATCCTATCCTGCTCAGTTTGAGTCCCAAAAAATCCATTAATGCATCTATTTATAAACTTGTGGCCATCCGAGGCTCACAATTAAATTGCAAAAAAGTGGCGAGGAGAAGGTGGATCCATCCACCTATAATGTTTTCAGGGACTGAAGCAGGATGCGTGGCTACATCCATTTAGGGGCATGTAGGTTGAGGACGAGTTGGCCTTGCAAGTACAGTGGCAGGGGCAGTAGCACCGAGTGCAGTAGTTGAGCTGTTGACAATTTAGGAGCTTGTTTCTCCCGCTCCACGTTGGCTGCCCTCTTCCAGCCCAGGTCTGTCCACGTGCACTGCCTCAAAGAGTAGCCAGTGCTGAGCACAGGCTTGAGAGCTCTGGGCAGAAGGGGGAAGGGCAGCGCAGGGGGAAGAAAGATGAGGAAGCCATGCAATGGAAGGAGAGAGGAGGCCAAAGGGCGAATGAGAGGAAAAGGGGGCACCCAGGGTGGGGCCCTGGGTGGGAAGCACTACTAGGGTAAAGAGGTGCATTAGTTTTCCGAAAGGATCTTCTTCCTGGATGCCAGAGGTCCGAGGCTCGGTGTCCCCTGGGGACAGGACCGTCTTGCTTTCCCCAAGGGGTGGAAGTAAAGAGGTCTCACAGCAGGTTCCTGGCCAGGCTCTTCTGCTTGCAAGGCCAAAGCCCAATCCACACGGCCAAACAACACAATTACACCCAGAAGGAATGACGTTTTGATGCTCTGAGTTATTTCTAACCCCTGTGGCCAGATGTGGTTGGTTTTAAATCAACCCAAGAGCTGTTTTGCTGAGAGCTGAAGCTGGCACCTGAAAAGCAAACGTACCTGTTCTGCTCCTTCAGGCGCCCGGAGTAGCGGTTTGGGGATGAGGACGCTGCCAGCAGTCTTATCAATCATGCAGCAGGCAGAATGGAAATCAGCTCCCGTTTCTCGCTGCCGCGGCTCTGCTGCACACGTTCTGCTGACAACAGTAAAATCTTCTTTTTTGTCAGTAACAATCCAATTAGGGAGTAAAACCTCTGAGGAATCAAGAGCTGTGAATAACAAGATGCACATTGCTGAGCCTTGCTGCAGTACAGGCTGGCCCTCAAATTGGCACTTACTTTGTGGAGGATAGGGCTGTATCCTGTGGGTTCAGTGCACAACTAGTGCAAAAGCCTTAGTGAAACACAGTGGTGTTTCTGATGAGAATGTGCTCTGTACCCTCACCCTGCATGAAGACAGAGAGAAGCCGAGGGGATTTAGGGTGGACAAAGGGTTGGAGGATAAAACCACATGGAGCTATGAAATCCCTCCTGGAGACTTTCACCCATTAACACACCATGCCACCAGCTGAAGCCCTTGGGATGACTTACTCCTTTTCATGGGATCTGAACAAGAGTCAAATGATAGTGCTTGTGGATGAAGACGCATCTTTTCACCTCCCATCTAATCAAAACAAATTTTATCTCTTTCACTGTCCTCCTCATCCAAATTCTGCTTTCCCAGCCTTCACAGAGCCCTGGCACAGCATGATGATGGGACAGCCTGGGTTGGAAGTACAGGCAGTCCTCAGTCTTACGACACAATTGGTTCCTGAAAACCACATCTTAAGTCGAAATGTTGCAACTTGGAACCGATTTTCCCATAGGAAACGAGGTTATAAATGGGGGATTGGTTCCTGAACCCAGGCCTGACACACTATTTTCACCAAAAATAACCCAGAGTTTTGTACTCAGTCGATTATAGATGAGTAATATAGCTACATTAATGTATTTATATTGTAAATAGCAATCATATTGATATAGAAGAACTTCTTTGAGGTGACTTGGCTGGACTTTTTTGAAGGATTGTTGACTCGAGTCTTCTCAGGAGTCTTGGCTGCTTTCTTAAAGAAAGTGTCCAAGGAAGTTTGGACAGGCAGGAGATGGGCGATGCAGGGAACTTGTTCGCTGGTGTGGCGTGGCATCGGATCAAGTGTTGTAAAGTCGAAACTAATGTCAGAAAGTTGAAACAGGGTGTCAATTTATAAACCTTGTAAGTGCGAAATGTTGTAACTTGAAACGTTGTAAGTTGAGCACTGCCTGTATGCGCTTTGCTTTGCAGGGGGCAAATAGCTCTATTTCTGGCATGTGCTTGTGCTCTGACAGGTGTCTGCTGCCTGGTGTGAGCACATGAAGAGATACTTATGGGGTAGTAGCAGTGCCTCATAGGAAAAGCAACATCTTGGGCCTCCTTCCCAATTCCCACAGGTTTTAATCTGGTATAACTCTGCCTGCCTCTGATTAGCACTGGTGTGAGAGAAGATCAAAGTGCTGGCTGAGGGAAGGTGAAGAAGGCTCTTAAGTAGCATGCTTTCTGGGTATGAGTCTCCTTTCCCTTAGTGCAAATCAGGAGATGACCTGGCAGAGTTACACATGAGTTAAACCAGTCTGAGAGTGGCAAAGCAGACCCTCGGTCTCTGGAGCAGCATGGAAGGGGTCCAAGGAGTCTGCAAGACCTTGGTAGCCCAAGCTAGGAAGGCAACTTACCTCCCTCGCTGCCTCACCACCTTCTCTCCCTCCTCCACGGAGTGGTGATCCTTGATGAGGCAATGATGGGGAGGTGTTTCTTGAGGTACTCCCACTGGCATTAAATCAGCCTACGACAGGCTGCCTTGTCTTCCCCAGGACTTTCTTTGACCTACTTAATTTGAGCAAAGGATGCATCTTTTTCATGATTGAAGATGCAGCTCATGTGTGGGCAGGTGTAATGGGATCCTAGCCCACAGGCACTCCAATCTCAGTGCAGTGGCCACTATCATAGCAACTCGCTTGGAGCAGGGAGAGTGGAGCCGAGAGAACATTTCCAGACAGGTGCTTTCATGCCCCATCTCACCCTGAGCCCAGCTTTGCTGTTGATAGCATGCTATTTTGATCTAACCCCAGTGACTCCTAGAAGGTAGTGCAGACTCCCTGGTGGCCAAGAAAGCCTTTGGCCGCCTGCCTGTGTCTGGGCCTCATACCTCACAGCAGGGATGTGGGGAGATTCCCAGATCCGATGCAATGAGAACAATTTTTTTTTTCAATGAATAGTATATTTACCAAGATGTGGTACATAACAGGTACTGAAGAGGTTTGTTTGTCCTTGCTGCACATGGCATATAACTTTGGCTTTAAAAAAAATGGAGGGGAATCTTGAACAGGTTAAGACATTACTTAATTTCAGCATCTTCTGAAGGAAATGATTTTTTTCTTCCCCAGAAATGCTGAAAGGTTTCATTTTTTAAATTAAACTTTGCAACTTTAGGTTGAAAGCCGATTTTTTTTTGGTTTGGTTAAAAAAATTACCTGAATTTTACTTGAGGAAAAAAGACTAAATCCAAGAGTTAATAACCCTTCTCAAAAAATCTGCACCATTTCATTTCAGGTTGACCCCAAACAAGGTTTTCTGGAGGTTCTTTTACTTTGTGTTTTGTTTTGAGCTGAACCATTTCCACCCCCAATGTTTCAGTTCAGCTCCTAAAACAAGAAACATGTTTTTTGCCCAGTCTGGCAGGCAAAGTAAGACCTTGCATGTTGGGAGCTTCTGCTGACAGCAGAGGGAGGCTGGTACTGTGCAGAATTGACTGAGTCAGTGTCTCAGGGACGCCTACAGATAACTGCCCTCAAGCAATGCCTTGTAGAGCCCAGAGAGCCATTGGTGAGACTTTCTTAACTTACCTTTCCTGTTTTTTTCCAGGGCATTCCTCCTGTTGCCAGGAGCACAACCCCAGCTAGACAGAACAACCTCAAGCCAGCAAGATGGCAGGAGCCTCTGTGAAGGTGGCGGTGAGAGTACGGCCTTTCAACTCCCGTGAAATGAGCCGGGACTCCAAATGCATCATCCAGATGACGGGAAGCACCACCAGTGAGTAACACCCTTGGCCCCAACAGCAATGTTGGGACTTGGCCCCTGGCTGCAGGAGGGAGGTGATTTAGAACCAGATTTCTGCTGGGACATTTGATGCCAATGGCTTGCAGATGAGAACACAGTTTGGGCAGGACCCTTACTCCCCTGCAGCTTCCGTTATAGCCATCCCCCTGTGTTCAAAAATCTTGAGTCAGTCCATAAAGAATCATGAATTGGGGTTTTTTTAAAGAAACACACACCTGAAGTTCTTTTTATTAGTCTTCTGTTTTTTGAACCACCTGGGTACACTCAGGTCATGATTCCAAGCTATTCTACATAATCATGAGAGACAGAAACTTGTTGTTGTTTTTGTTTTGTTTTGTTTAAGTAAAAGCTGAGATGTTTACACAATCACAGGACTCCAGGAGCTGAGAATTGAAAAAATGCAATTACATAAGGGATGCTTGGAAGGGTAATTACAAAATTTGGCAAGACTGAGCTTTCCATTCCAGATATGGAGCCTGCTTGCCCACTGTTTTGTACAGAGCATGGCCAGTTACAGTCTGGGCGAGCTGATTGTGAACATTGCCATTGAGGTGAAGGAGCTGATCTCCCAGCCTTTTATACTCCTTGCCTTCCCTGGACATGGGGCTTGCATGGTTTCACAAAGGGCAAAGCAGTGGAGACTTGGACCTGTAGCTCATAGTGGATACATTCTCTTTTTTTTCTCTCTCTCTCTCTCCATTGGGATTATTTATTGGTGCAGATTATTATAGTATCTAAATGCCCTCCAAGTTAAACTGGTAACAGTAGTGAAATCCCTGGTGGATTTCTTGGCATCTCTCTACTCTCTGGCATATCTGTTCTGTATGTGGCTGGTTTTTGGCTGGTCAGCTGGTGTGTTGCAGATTATTATTTCTATTTAGGGACCTGTCTGGCTGTTGAGGAGGTCAGTGTTATGTGCACTGAGTTTGTGATGACAGAAGGGCTTTGCAATGACAGCAAACCACTGCATGGGGGATAGAACGGCCTTGTGGACAGAACCTGGGCATGGGACTCTAGGTACCTGGGATTCTGTTTCCAGCTCCACTCCTATCCTGCTGTGTGACTTTGACAAAGCAGTTTGCCCCATCTGCATCAGTTTCCCTACGTGTAGGAGGATGCATCCTATGAGCAGCCCTTTGAGAGCTACAAAAGAAAGATTCCATTTTACAGCAAGGTAATATTAAAGCAGCCAGAACATCTACAGGGCACTGTTGAATTATTATTTTCATTCACTTCAGGGGGACCTTTGAGAGTCCCCAACCCACTTGGTTCATTTGTCTATAGCAGGTGTTGAAGAGGGACCCCATAGTACAGTGTGTGTTGGGGAGATCTAATTGCCAGCCACAAACTGTTTCTCCTCCCAGTGTTGCTAGATCAGTCATATCCCTTTTGCAACTCAACTGTGGCACTGATTTGGTGTAAAACACCACAAGAGTGTAAGGGGACACCATACAGGTTTGAAATGCCATGGGAAGACATCTGACCTATATTTCCAGTATGGCACTGAGAGTTCTGATTTCAGCTTTTGAGTGACCATCCATCTTCTACTTTGGGAAATTTAGAACGTATCTATACCTCTTTTTGGGGAGACGGTAAGGTTTATCCTCAATTAACTTAAACTACATGAACCTCCCTCCCTCTCTATATTATCCAGCTATGGTAACATGTGGGATGCATGGAAGGAAAGATAAGCAGTAAATAAGCCAATTCATTCCTAAAAGAACAGGAACAGGAACCTCAAGTGGAACCCTTCTAGGAATCATGCATTCAACTTCTCTTTCCCTTCTATACTTTGTTGTACTTATAGGTGTAACCCGGGTGGTACTCCAAGAGGTACCCCCTCTCCAATTGAAGGGATCAAAGCAGGTACACAAGCGCTGTGGGAGGTGTAGGGACTCTCTTCCCCCTATAGAGCAGAGCCAGACCACCAATGGGGACTTAAACATATACCTTTTAATGAGGGAACAATACTGGGAACATAACCAGTAGAAACCAGCGGGGTA